TGCCTGCCTCGTAAGTGCAAGGCCCTGAGTTTGATCCTCGGTACCCCCCAAAAAGAATGTTAATACTGTGTTTTGCTATTTGAGATCGTGGTTGTCTTCTTTAGGGTTCTCATGCTAATGACCTCCTCTTCAGCTCTAATTTCTCTCGCTAATTACCAGATAGTTAATTTCTGAAAGGGTACAGCTGTGGGATTGTGTGGATGCCAAACTCAAGACCAGTTAGCAAATAGCAGGATGCCACTTGTGGATAAATTTAGGGCAATCCCTGTCTCTATATTTAAATGATCACAGATAAATTTGTATTACAGAAGTTTCCACATTTGTCTGTTTGACCTTAAAAAATTTTTTTTTCTAATTTTTATTAGTACATATTGGTGTACGTAGTGATTACATTTCCTTCTGGGGAGTTGGTATCTGTACATAACACATATTAGTCCATTTTACTTCTTGTACCCACCCTCTGTCTTCCCTGTTGTCTCTTGGACCCTTTCCATTTGCAAAAGATCTATCTTCCTCTTTCCTATTATAATTTACTTTGCTTTCTAAATTATTTATACTTTGGGTTTCTCATATAAGAGAAATCATGGGATATTTATTTAAGCTTGTATGTCTGATTTGTTTCATTTAACATTATGGTCTCAGGGTGCATCAAATGACTTAAGTTTATTTATCCTGCTTCATGGCAGAGTAGTACTCCATTGTATGTACATACTTCATTCTCTTTATCCACTTACCTTTTGAGGGACACAGGCTGCTTCCAAGATTTAGCTACTGTGAGTTGTGCTGCTATAAACACAGTGTGCATGGATTGCTGTGCCATGATGGCTTTAACTCTTGGAAAGATGCTTATCAAGGAGGGGCATAACTAGGTGCTGGCTTCAAACTTTCCATCCTTCTGCTTTAGCTGCCCAGGTAGCTGTGATTACAGGCATGTGGAAGATGGTACTCTTGAATTCCTGGAAAACCTGTGAGGTAGTAGTTGATTTAAAGTTTAATGCTTAAGCAATTAATTATAAGTAATGTTACCAGCAGTGCTCAGTACTATAATATAGTTTTTATTTGCATTATTCTTACATTTTCTTTAGCAGTAAAAATGCAGTATTGTTTATGAAAGTAAGATTGCATGGCCGTGGCCGTAGCAAACTCTCTCTGTATGTCTCTCTGCAGTCCTGGAGCTTGAACCCATGGCCTCATGTTGTCACCCCCAGCTTTATTTATTGCAGTACTAAGGGTTGAACCCAAGTTCTTGCCCGTTTTACTTTTTATTTTGAGACAGTGTCTTGTGAAGTTTCTCTGGTTGCCTTCAAACTTGAGACCCTCCTGCTTCAGCCTCCTGAGTAGCTAGGATTACAGATGTACACCACACCCTGTGATTCTTTAAGATTTTTTTCTAGTATTGTTTGAAGAAAACTTGATATCCCACATGGTTGACAGCGTTTTTACTTAACAATTTTAGTGCTTATCAGGGAAGAGTTCAGATTTCTAGCCTTGGATTCCTTAAAATGTTTACCCTTTGTCGTCGTCCCCCCCCCCCAGGGAAATACAAGGGCTTTCACATGATAGGCAAGTACTCTATTACTGAGCTCTGTTCTACCTCCTTGTTTTCATTTTTTACTTTTAAAGATACAGTGCTGGGGTTTGAACCCGGGGCCTTATCACTGAGCTCCATTCCCTGCCTGTTTTTTATGTTTTATTCTGAGACAGGGTCTTGCTAAGTTGCCCAGGCTGGGCTCAAACTTTCCATCTTCCTGCATCAGCTTCCCAGCAGGCTGGGATGAGTTGTGCACCTCCATGCCTGGCTAGATTTGTTTCTTAAATGTCTGAATTTGGTGGGGTAAAGTTTAAAATAACTCATTGGGCTAAGCTGTTGATAATATTTATTGTTTATGGAAAATAACTGGAGCCTTCCTTTTCCAGGGTAATCACTTTGATCAGTATGAAGAAGGACACCTGGAGATTGAGCAGGCATCTCTCGACAAGCCCATAGAATCGGTAAGCTCCACGCCTGCCTGAGGGCTGTGGCTGGGCAGGCGGGCAGGCAGTGCTCCGGCCCCATGTGGGGCCGGCCCTTGAGACTGGCCACTGCTCAGGCTGTGCTTCCTGCATGCCGTGCAGCCATCAGCTAGCGTTTGGGGGCAGCCTAGTGTTTGATGTATGGGGAAGTCATCCCAGGACAGAAACGAAGATTTTGATGAAAATATTATTTTGGCCCATACTGATATTCTGATGAAGATAGCAAGTTAAAGTTTAGCGTTTTTATAATTAAAGGAGTAAAATGTATTTTGACCCTTTAACACCTTTCCTGGGCAACAGTCACATGAGGTGTCAGGAGCAATTGAGTGGTACAGTGATGCATTTTTTTTCACCAGACCTTGTTAAATGTGGTCTCTGTAGCTTGAGAAAAGTCTGGGGTTTTTTGTCAGAAGTTGACATTTCAGCACTGGAGATTGGACCCCAGAGTCTTTGCACTGAGTTACATTCTAAGCCTCTTTTTAAAAAAATTTTGAGGCAGGTTTTTGTTAAGTTGCCCAGGCTAGACTCAAACTTGCAGTCCTCCCACCTCAGCCTCCCAGAGGGCTCAGATTACAGGTGTATGCCACCACATCTGGCTGATTCTGTCTCTTTACACTGATTAGTTAGAAACATTAATGATACCAAGCAATAAAGGAAAGATATTTATTTTTCGTCTCAATTTTAAAAACTCTTAATTTTTGAACATTATTTTCATCCTGAAAACCCATTATTTTTAAATAACACAGCTCTTTGTTAAAATGTCTAAACTTGTCATTATTGTCAGCATTTAATATCTGTGTTTCAGTGTACCTCTTTAATAGGGGTTTTGTTGAGTTGTGGGTAAAACTTGAAAGGGGGATAAAACTCAGATGGAATCCTAATCTTAGTCAAAGCAACCCCCTCTCTCCCTTTAAGAAACACAGCATCTTTCCTGAAGGGAAATAATGAGGCAAGTTAGGGAAAGAGCCTTGAACTTTAGTTTTATTTTTAAACCTGTGACATAGTAAAGGATCAACATATATTTATGTTCCTAATTAGGTTGGTGTTGTGTTTGTGTGTTTAGATGTTTACAGAAATTTACACAACTTGGGGTGTTCGACATTTTTCTTCCACAGCAGTTGGCCCATATTAGCTAAGCAGCCATGATCTGGTTTGTATTGCACGGTCTGCCTTTTTAAAATTTCTTCTCTAGGGTTTCTTTCTCCCCACCTCCCCTTCTCGTTCTGTCCTTCTGGTCCAGTGAACACTGCATACAGTACCTTCTGTCTCAATGTGCTGGCATGATGCTAGACTCAGGCATGGCCCTAACAGTGACGCATGTGATAATGCTGCAGAGGGAGAGACACACCGGGTGGAAAGGCCAGTCTGTGTGCTGCCGCCGGGCCAGAGGCCAAGGGCCCCCCCCCCCCAAAGTTAACTCACTCAGGTTTGGACTCTGATCCTCATCACCTCAGGGCTTATTACAAAGCAGAGCTTTACAGTGAAATTGGTAGCTAAAATCATTATCTTTTAGTTGAAATTAATTAATTTTTCCATTTCTATTTAATTTTGTTCCTTTGGATTAAAGTTGAAGAACGGCTAGCCAGCAGCAAGGCCCCAGAGCCATACCCTGTAAGATGTGTGGTTGGTCAGCACCTTAAGTGAGCTGCAGCTCTGCGAGCACCTGACCTGACAGTGGCAGGAGATTTAATTAGCCTGGATTGCAGTGTATTATTACTGCTCTACTCAACAAGATTTTTAAAAGGCTCTAAGTGATAGTTAATAGTTTGAAGCTGCCTTCTAGGGGCACATTAAGTTTTTCAAAAACTCCTTCCTAATGAGGCTAATGCTGTTTTGCCTCACACTGTCCATCACTTTTTCTGTTTAGGGTTTTGGAGAGCACACTGCCAGAGGACAGTCTGGTTGGGCAGGTCGCGTGTTTGTTAAGTAACATGTTCACAGATTTGTAACATATTAATTATACTTCTAGTAAAAATTATTCCTAGGAACTCCATAAATACATGCACTGTCTGTGATGCGATAGTTCAGGTGTGGCCTGGTAATAGGAGCTCCAGCCTTCATTGTGTTAGATAGATGTGGGACTCACAAGGTGAGGAAGGGTCTTATTTCTGCTACCTGATCATTTGGGAATAAAATGTAAAGTTTGAAAAGAAACTTCTACAGTGATTGGCATTAAAAAAAAAAAGTGTTTCTTTGTCTTGCCCTCCCCTCAAGTAAAACAGTCCCTGTCCCCAGGGACGCCCAGTGAAGTCACTGCGCTGGCTCTGTGGCTGCCTGGCTGGCTGTGGAAGCTATGCAGGTCAGGAAAGTGGGGTTGCTTCTCATGCAGAAAGAGTCCCAGCTGAATTAAGATCTTTCTCTGCAGCAGTATCTGTTGAGAGGCGCTGACTGTTTTGCTACAGCATGCAACTCAAAAGTGGCTGGGATACACAGCTTTGGGAGTCTACAGATCATTTCAGGAGCTAAAGGTCTAGTCTTTCTTTTTAACAAAGGTCATCTGCAGGAGCTGTTAGCGGTGGGAGTCTGCACAGGTTTGTGCCAGAGTGTGCTCGTGTGAGGGTTCTTGTGAGTATAGGGCTCAGGCCTTCTGTGTTGCAGTAGGGTACTTTTTTCTTTTTCTTTTTTTTTTTTTTGGTACTGGGGATGGAACTCGGGACCCCAGTAGGGCACTTTTGATACATATCAACAAGGTAGGAAGTGAGATTAAAGATGCGGCAATGCACTGTGCTTCTAGTGAGCTTCCGAAGCCTGGAGTTTCAGTGAGACGTTAACAGATATTTTAGCTTCAGTAGGCAAATGTTGACAACACATCAAAATCCAATATTTGTGAAGTATTTAATAATATTTACTGTAAAGTCTTATTTTTCCATCTTTATTCCAGCCATGCATATATCCTTCAGTGAAATTTATGGTCCAGAATAAAACACCTTTCTAAGAAAATTAAGAAAGAAATTGCCTGACCACTTGATTATCTGCATTAAAGTCAAAGTGCAGAGCAGTAACTTTCTGGCGGTGCGGGGTATTAAGCTGAGGCAGTTTCCTGCTGAGGCTCCTCCCTCCTTTTGTTTTGAAACAAGGTCTCACTGAGTTGCCCAGGCTGGCCTCAAACTGTCATCTTCTGCATCAGCCTTCTGAGCCCTTGGGATCATAGGTGTGATCCACCACACCTGGACCCAGCTGTAGCTTTTGTTTCTTTATATGTTTATTTAATGCAGTCCTGGGGCTCCAACCAGGGCCTGGCAAGGATAGACGAGCACACTGCCACTGAGCTGCGGCCCCAGCCTCTTCTTGTTTGAGATAGGATTTTGCTAGATTGCTCGGGCTGTCCCCGATCCTATGATCCATGAGCCTCAGCCTCCAGTGTAGCAGGGATTATAGACATACACCACTGTGTCTGGCTAAATTTTATCCTTAAAACAAACAAAAACCCCACATTTTTGAACTTGAACTTTGAAAGTCCTTGTTCCTTTATGAGATTTTTAGGTCTCAGCATTATAATTTTGACTTCCACATACTTAAAGGTAAAAATGTCTCAAAGGCAAAGCTTTCCCTACGCCACAGTGCAGTTGAGGGTTGCATTGTAGTCCCTGATGTTGGTGACATACCTGGTCTTAGGACCCTGTCCCAGCGTGGAGACAAGGAGTCAGGCACAGGGCACCGTCAGGCAGAGGGTGCTGTCGCCTGCACACATCCAGGTGCCGCTGCCCCCTGGCCGCAAGGTGACATTTATTGTAAACCCTGGCTTCACTGCTGTCAGTTGATTGATAGTTTTAAAAACTAGTGTAAGTTTTCAAGTTCTGGGGCTCATGTTTAGTTGCCCACCTAGGGGCGGAGAAGCATAGCTGGGCTTTTGTCACATTGCTTATCTGTTCAGATCTGTGGACTCCACTAGTTCCAAATGTAACTCTGAGGTGCTGATTTGACATTTAGCAGTGACCACATGTGGACTGCACTGTGGTAGCGTGCTTCTTAGAGCTGAATGGCGTAGCATCACTCTGGCTTTTCCCCCGGTCTTCATGTGTCGTCTGTAATGAGCAATAGAGTCTTTGTTTGGGGAGCTTTTACAACTTGCCATTTGCATGGTTCACCTAGTAGCATTTGGTTCTTGCTTATAGAGTCTTAATACACAATCAGCAAAGCTTACAATCCACTCGAGACATTTTTGTTGCTGTCAAAACGGGCTAAATTGTGTAAACTGAATGTGGCTGTCAACCAAAAGAAAACCCAGTGTGGGGCTAATGCTCATCTAGTCACTGACATACTTATGATATAGTTTTTTCTTGAGACATGATATTCTTCTTCCTAGTATGAAATTTTGGAGTCAAGCCCATACAATAAAGTAAGTTTTTACGTGTGTGTTGTCAGGCTCCTGCCATACACAGTGGTGCTATTGCCAGGATGATCCTTGTTAGCGTGGATCAGCACCTGGAGCAGAGACAGTCCAGGGAAAGCTTTCTCTTTGATATTTAATTCATAAATAAAAATATTGAGGAATAGCTGAAATAGTTGCCAGGGTTTTTGCCTGCTGGTGTTGTGTTTCCAGCATATGGGTAGTTGTTCAGAGTGTACATTTCTTGCTTTCAAAGATCTTCCCATTTGAAAATTTTCTCCCTCTTATGTATGTAGGGAGGAGCAGAGATTGGAAATTCAGCATTTTAATTGTACGTTGAAGTTTAGAAACAGAAGGGAAAAGGCCAGCTGAAGTAATTTAGTCCTGGTGGTAAAAAGGGGGGTTTTCAGCCCAACTTCATGATTTGATCACGGTTAGAAGAACTTCCTTTCCAACCAGTGAGTACGCACAGAGCCCCCACTTGGACTCAGATACTGAGTATGACAGTGAAACCAACCTGTGCTTACCACCCTGTCGAAGGTCATCCCTCAGTAATTAGTCTAAAGGAGTACTTAGGTAAACAGCTCACCACTGCCCTGCATCTTAGTTAGTTAGTTGCAAACCTATTTTTAAGAACACCCCTCCTCCAAGATGCCATGCATGGTGGTACCTGTCTGTAGTTCGAGCACCCTGGGAAGCTGAGGCAGGAGGATGGCAAGTTCAAGCTCAGCCTGGGCGAGTTAGCGACTTAGTGAGACCCCGTCTGAAAATAAAAAGTAAAGAGAAGGCGGGGGCTGGGGATGTGACTTAGTGCCAAGGCCCTGGGTTCAATCTCTGCAACACACACCCCTATCTAATGATGTGTATTTTGGGTTCTAAGAGATTATAATTAAGCCCCAAATTACATATTTTATTTAAAGACAAAAACAAAATGGTTTTTTAGCCACTGCTTTTGTTTGTTTGAAATGAAGTCTTGTGTTGCCCACCCTGGTCTTGAACTCCTGGCTCAAATGATCCTCCTGCCTCAGCCTCTCATAGCTGGGACTATAGTCGTGCACTGTTACACCTTGCTGATTTTTGTTGTTCTCATAGTGACTGTTCGTTTTAAGTTTTTTTCCTAGTAGTAGTTTAGAAGTCAAGTTAGTGCTCAGTGCCCTTGTCCCATCTAGATTTCCTGTTACAGCTGTGAGTCCCTTTGTGCCCATTTCCTGTGACAGCATCCCTGCAAGGTCACAGCCCCAGGCAGAGAGCATTATGATCATTTTCTGCAGGCTGGTGATTGAGCCCTGTTTTTGACAGTGCAGATTTTGGGACCATTTCAGATAGAGCTGAGGGCTGTGTCCTGGCTGCCGTGCGTGTTTCGTGTGCACACCCTTCAGGCCCGCTCATGGGTCCTGCTGTGCACTCCCGGAGCCCGTGTCTCCGTGGGAAGGGCACTCCCTGCCATCTCCGGGCTCCCGCAGCAGGCTGCTGTGTAGTGGCTGCCGAGGTTTATCCTCTCCATCCCGGGGGGAGGCAGAGCCTGACTAGAGAGTCTGAGCCTAAGCTTCAGAGGAGAACACCACGCCTCTGCCTGGGGAGCTCTCCTGCAAAGGTGACAGCCCTCTTCTTGAGTGGGTTTGTAAGATGTGCTGATGTGTACGACCCTTGGTTTTTCTCTCCCCTCCCTTTAACATTGGCTTCCTTCCACTGTTGTCGGTCACCACACCCTGCTCTCAACTCTCGTGAATTTACTTATGCTTCATGCTCTTTTAATGAATACTTTACTTGCAAGCAGTGAATTGAAAACAAGACAAAAAAACAAACAAACAAAAAAACAACAAAAAAAAAGCAAGACCATTAGTGATCGGACTGTTTCTTACTTTGTGTCACATTTAACTGTTCTTTTGACAGCCCAGTTTTTAAAGCCAGGTTCGTATGGAAATGCTTTCACTCCACTTGCACTGCTTTTGGAAATAGCATACTGCTTCATCTGTCTGTTTATTTTAGTGCATTCATGATTTAACACAGTCAGCATAATGTCTCATCTCCACCTAGGCAGAGGTGGTGTGTTCTTTTAAAGAACAGCAAAAACAACAAAAGTACAACAAAACAAAGGCAGACAACAATTTTTGTCAGCACTGTTTAATACCTAAGACTCGGTGTCAGATGTAGTAGTAGCATTAGTCTAGTAGTAGTTTAAAAATAGTGAAATCAGCTACATTCCCTTAGTCCTTTCCAGAGTTTCAGTTGTAGAAATTCTGAGAAGTAATAAGGACTTTGTATCAGGTAAGCTTGTTATCATAATAGGACAATAAGGGCCTCTTTACCTTTCCTTTTTCTGCTGAAATTACTTATATATTGAAACTTTTCATTTTTATTTTTTCTGATGCTGGGAATGGGACCCAGGACCTCATGAATGAATGGTAGAAATAGAAACTTTGTTATTGAGCTACTCCCCAGACTAATTTTTAAAAGAATAATAGTTATTCCTAAGTAGACAGACTCAGTATTGGCTAGAGCATGCTTTTTCCCAGAAATACAAGGGAGAAGGGAAGTAGCAACAATGCCGTGTTGAATTTCTCTAATGTCTAATGATGTGAAAGTCATCACTTGGACTTACACATACTCTGGTGTTTTCTGATTCTTTCAGTTGTATAGTTTGCCTCCACTTTTTTTTTTTTTTGTACCAGAGATGGAACTCAGGACCTTGCGCTTGCAAGGCAGGTGGTGGAACCACTGAGCTAAATCCCCAGCCCCACTTTTTATTTTTAAATAAGCTATCCTATCTCCCTGCTCAGTAACCAACTGGTCAGCCCAGTTTTGTAGTTTGGATGCTGACATAGACGTAATTGTCCGTTTAAAAACAAAACAAGCCCAGAGGATGGGGGGCTTAATCGTCTAACTCCCTGTAAGAGGTGATAGGAGTAAAATAATGTTTTTCTGTATTTTCTGACTCCAAGGAACATTTGATCATTGAATATGGAGCTGGATGATAAACAGCTTAATATGAGATACTTGATTTTAATGAAAGATTTCTGGTTTTGTTATCTTTATAAATTGATTTCATGTAATATGAGAATTCAAATGGTGATATTAGATTAATACTATAAATTATGTTCGTACTGAACACTTTGTGTGATATCCCCCCCACCCCCCCAGTGTGGAGACTGAACACAGGGCCTCACACATACTAGGCAAGGACGCTATCACTGAGCTACACCCCAGCCCTGTGCTTTCAGTTTTTAAACACTTTATTTTTTTTGATGAGTAGTATCATTTTTTTTCTGACAGTTAATGGTTATTTGAGCTTTTTCTTGGTAGTTCACAATACAAAAACAGAAACCAAAATAAAAATAAAAAGCAGAGAGTTTGACAGAGTGTTATAAAAGTTCCTGACCTCTGGACCCTTTACACAAAAGCTGACATTTATTGTTGTTTCTGGTGTCTTCTCTACAGCTTCCACTGACTAAGGTGTTCCTGTGCTCAGTTGGGAGATGAGACACTATGTGTGTTGGTTCCCGGTGTGCACTAATGGCTCTTACTGTAACTTCCTGCCAGGCCTGTCCCATTCTAACATCCTAGCGTTTCGTTAGACTACATGTTGAAATGCATCACTCAGTCTGTGCTTGAGCTCATTTTTATTCTGTTTAATCAACTTAATTTTTTGTTTTACTAACCTCACTGTTTTTTCAGTTTAATATTGGCTGCATGCTAGTTAATATTTATATTTTATATATTTATGTGTTTAAAAACCAATCAAGTCTAGCCTGGATTTTGCTGATTGTTTTTTCATTTCTAGTGGTGGGGCAGTTTTACATCTTACTTTGTATCATGAAAGCCTGTCACATAAACAAAATAACACAATTTAGATTTTCTTTTTTAAAGAAAAATCTTAAAGTGGTGCTGTCTAGGTGGTGGATACAATTGTTTAAGTACCTTGATTTTATGCTTTTTAATGTTTGAAATTTTCATAAATGTATTCTTTCCCCTTTTCCCTTCCCCTTTTTGCTCCCTTTTAAAGTGATATGTACAAAAGTTGCCCAGCACACCATCAGAAAGGACTCTCTCCCCATATGTTCTTCCCATATAAAATACTAGCCAGCATTTCTTTTTACATTAATGTCCCTTTTATTGGGCACATTTACCTTGTTATAGCACCTTTTTTTGCATGCATATATGTAGATTATCTCTTGCCCATCACCTGTTAAATGTCACTAGGAAGGGAAGAATATATTATTGGAATATTTTTGGTTTGTCTCTCTGTTCTGTCTGTCAGGATAATATTGGACATCGCTTACTCCAGAAACATGGGTGGAAGCTGGGCCAGGGATTGGGAAAATCTCTTCAGGGTAAGTTTTTAAATTTACAAACAAAAAAAAGGAAACAATGTTGGTGATGCAGATCTTGTACTTGAATTTATTTGTTGTCTTTTTTAAAAACTGGATTTTCCTCCACCTTACCCCTGCTAGAATAGTCTCCTCCAGCTGTTTTAAGTTGCTGTGTAGCCTCCTAGGTGCCAGTATCTGCAGGAGTGATTGCTGGCTCATTGAACACGCAGGTCAACCCTGTGTGTGGTGCAGTGTATTTGGATATTTCATGTGTGTGGAGGTGGTGGGTGGGTGCAGTAAAAGAATTCATAGTGTCAGACAGCCGTGCCTTTCAGTGACAGGGACTGTGGCTTTAGGATTAGAGAGAGAATCATTCAGCAGCAGAGTTTAACCTTGGTCTTTCTGAAGCCAGCCATTTCCCGGCTGTTTTTCTCTGTGATCAGATTCTTGGAGTGGTGGAGAGAAAAACCTGTGTGAAACATGAAAGCAGAAGTGTCCTAGGTTCTCGGCGTCAGATCAGGCTTTAGAAGGTTCAAGTTTCTATCACATTTATCTTGTAGCTATACTCATTATTTGGGTAAAAAGAAAATACCAACATTTCTGTTTCTGAGCTCTTGCTAGTTGGACAGCAACCAACCACATCTACTTTTAGCTCACTCCTGGTGGGAGAGCTAGTGCTTGTCTTGGGTGTGAGCGAGCGCCACCTTGGGGTGTGACGGGGTGCAGCTTTCTGCCTCTGACTGGGGGTGGTGTTTGGAGGTGGGCGTGTTGATGGTGGCCGATTCTTTGCCCTTTTGATGTGAGTTTTCAGTATGAAAGAGAAGTTTCATCACTTCAGGTGTGTTGAGAGGAACAAGAAGACCAGGAATAAAATACAGTGGTTCAGTCATTAAACTTTTGCCTTCTAAGTTCTGCAAATTGTATTCTGTGATGACTGGGGGAAGCTGGTGCTCGTGCTTTGTCTTTCTGTCTGTCTGTCTAATATCTCCCCTATTTGAGGAGGTGAACACACTGTTGTTTGCTGCTCTTTAGGCACACGAGGTGGGGGCATTTCACTCATGCTAGGCCATCAGAGATTTGAAGCAAGAGCACTGAGGAATGGGAGTAGACATCTGTCAGACACTTACCCACCCATCTATGTATGTGCTGTCTCCATATGTATATTCTGTGTGCCTGTGTTTAAGAAGGAAGAGGTAAGTGGATACTCAGCTACGAATGACCTAACACAACTTTTTTAAAAATCCAATTTTGGTTCTCTAAATTTTGAGTTCCTTGAAAAGAATTGGGCTTTATCCATATTTTATTTCCATCTCCATGGTGCAGACACATAGTAAGCACTAACTCATATCTGTTCATGTGAAAACACAAGGGAAGTTTGAAGCCTACTTGAACGATTCTTCCTTCTTTGTGTGTGTGTGTGTGTGTGTGTGTGTGTGTGTGTGTTATAATGAGACTTGAATCTAGTGCCTCTCATGTGGTGTCACGTGGCGGTACACTCCCAGGCTTTTTCCTTCGTGGCTTTAGTAAAAATACATGACATAAATCCCAGCACTCGGGAGGCTGAAACAGGAGAATCGCTGCAAGTTCGAGGCCAGCCTGGGCCACATAGTAAGTTCAGGGCCAGCCTGAACTACATAGGGAGACCCTGTCTCAAAAAAACCCAAAAACTGATAACATAAAATTTACTGTTGCACCCCCTCTTCCTTTCTCTCTGTTTCCGTGTCTCTCAGGTTGCTGGGGGCCGAAGCCAGCCCTAGCATGCACCCCAGTCCTCTGCTGAGCTGCACCAGCGGCCCACTGCCCGTCCATCCTAAAGGTGCAGTTCGGTAGTGTCACGTGCACGCATTGTTGGGTGGAGGCTAACCTCTTAGATGGCTAGTGCACTTCCTTTATCCTTAAAGGATGGAGTCATAGTCTTTCCAATATGGAGGGTTGAGTTTGTTCCGTTGGTAACAGTATCTCTTAGTGTCCACCGGCAGTGGGCCGGTTTCTCCCATGCAGCTCTTTGTGTGACTCGCCTGTGACTTGACTTAGCTGCATCAATGGTACGCCGAGGCAGGCTGTGACAGACGTGCTTTCCCTGCACTAAGCTTTTTGGGGAGGGGGGTACCAGGGATCAATCTCCGGTCCTTAGGCTTGCTGGGCAGGCGGCGGAACCACTGAGCCAAATCCCTGGCCCGCACTAAGCCTTTGCTATGAACAAGCGCTGAGAGCGCTCCGGTTGCCGTAGTGTGGGATAACGCCGCCTGGGCCTCGGCGCTGTCTGCGCATCGCGCCGGGCGTTATTTCTGGGGTCAGGTCTGGCAAGTTCTTCACGTTTACATGAGTTCGTAAGTTCGTTGGGAACTTTCAGTTCTCCCTTTTGAGTTTAGAACTCTAATGTATTGAATATGCAACCACCCATGGAAACTTAGTTATTTTCGCTAACGTTTAAACCTGGCCTCTTCAGCCTGTTTTTGTCAAAGCTTTAAAGGCTCACTTACCGCACGCAGTGCCAGTGCCCGGGCCCAGGCAGGGATCTCGTCACGGGGAGGGGGGAGGGCGTGCTGTAAATTCACTTTGTAGTCTGGGTTTACTTTTATACTTTAATTTTCTTATTTGCCTGTTGTTCTCAGTGTTTATTATAAAGTACTTCAAAAGTTATAGGGCCGGGCATTTAGCTCAGTGGTTTCGCCGCCTGCTGCGCAAGCGCAAGGACCGGAATTCAATCCCCGGTAGCAAAAAAAAAAGTTATAGAACTTTTATATTGCAAATAAATAGGTGTTAGTATTTAAAAAAACATAAAAAAGATGTGGACAAGGTATCATCTGAAGAAAGTATCACAAGGAAAGCTTTGTTAATGAGAAATACGGACAGTTGCTTGTTGTGGAAACAGAAGGAGGTGTTTAATCAGAAGCAAGAATGAGTGATTGTTTTGTGGCAGTTGGACTGGATTTGGTTATGAAGTATTTTATAACCTTTGGCAGCTTTGAAATGTAATGGAGTGTAGCTCAAAATCTTTATTTTGCTACCAGATATGTTTAGCCAGCTGATGTGGCCCAGAAATGGTGCCCGAACTTCCTTTGCTGTGGAGTCTAGGGGCTGCTTGATGATTTGTGTGTGTTTTTATCTCTAACAAAAATTCAACCCCTAGAACAAATGAGTGGGTTCTGGTATGATTTCATACCCCACCCCTTCTAGAAGGTCCTGTCGCTGTGTGTAGACAGCCAGCAAGTGCTTCCTGAGCTAGTGGAGGTGCTGATTGTGCTGGCTGGCCAGAAGGGGCCAGTGCGCAAGTGCTGTGGGTGACCTGTAACTCTGCCCTGCAGGTTCATTTCCAGCCCACTCAGCCCTGCTTTTGTTTTGTTTTCCATTTCATGTTTTGCTTTGTTTTGAGACAGGGTCTCGCCATGTAGTTCAGGCTGCTCTTGAATTCGTGGTGATCTTCGTGCCTCAGCCTCCCAAGTGCTGGGATGCCAGGTGAGCACCACCACACCGGGCTAGTTGTGCTTTTTTTTTTTTTTTTTTTAACTGCGATGACCTCTAAGGTTTTCTTCAGGCCAGGGACCTGCTCCTTTCCGCCACAGAGTTAAGGGTGCCATCAGCCCGAATATCTAATTGATGTACTGCTTTAAGCTCTTTGAGCACAGGGACTCTCATTTATTTTTGTGTGAAAGTACTTGGTGCCAGGCATGAAGGCAGTGTTAGCATTCTGAAACCCTTAGATGTAAGCTTGAGTTAGGTGCTGCATTGCTATTTAACAGTAAAGGGAAAAGTTACCATCACTTACTCATTTCCCTCAGGAATAAGTAGGAATTAAAATCATGTGTGGCCATAAGGATGAAGTTGCCTTCTAAGAACTGTGAGACTATAGCTGGGGATACAGCCCACACCTGGGATCCCAGTCCTCTGGGGAGAGGATCACAAGTTCGAGCCCAGCCTGGACAATTTAGTGACTTATTGAGCTTCTGTTTTAAATAAAATACTAAAAAAGAGCTGGGGACTAGCTCATTGTGAAGATTTGGGCTTCAGTCCCCAGTAGTGCAAAAATTAAGTAAAATAAATAAAAACAAGCATGCTACATAAGTAGTTACTGTTAACATTGCTGTTGTGTAGTGCATATTTAAATATTTTAATGGAATTTGAGATACTCTAGCTTTAGCTCTTAATCAGAAACCCGAATGTCATCAAAGTTGTCAGTAGGGATGCTTCTGTCTTATTGCTCTCTATTTCCCAGACTTAATGACAGTAGTAGCAGATATGCATCATATGCATATGGGGATTTGCGCTTTTGATGTTGCGTGTGTTTTAGGGCTTCTCCATCCCTAATGTTGGTGTCTGTTGTGCTAATTCATCTCTACCTCTGAGTCACAGCATCTAAAAAGAACCTTAATACTGAGCTTGTCAGAGCTGTTTGGACCTGGACCATAACCTGGGAGACAAAAGCTGAATCTCTATTGTTGTACCTTACCCCAGAATAGAGTCCAGAGGAATAAAAGTCCTGTTGTCCCTGTCCCCCTGCACCCCCTGCTTAGGACAGAACTCAGGGTCTGACACATGCTGGGCAACAGCTCTACCACTGAGCGAACCCCTGCCCCAGCCCACCCCTTTTATATTTTGGCTGGGTCTCACTTTGTAGCCCAGACTGGCCTTCAGTGACCCTCCTGCCTCAGCCTCCCGAAGATCATAGGCATGTGCCACCATTCTTGGCTTAAAAGCTCTTTTTTGAAAAGGCTAGATTTGACTATATTTCATCATAAAGTCAAAAAACAAACAGGGAAAAACCTGTAATATTTTAATGTAGGCAGAGGACAAATTTCCCTCATGTATTCATGAATATGAAAAAGATTTAAGACTTATTACCTGAATAAAAAGGAGGAAATGTGAGCACTGTGTATAGAAAAGTACATAACTGGACCGGGGATTTAGCTCAGTGGTGCCACGCCTGCCTTGCAAGTGTAAGGTCCTGAGTTCTATCCCGGTACCGGGAAAGAAAAGAAAGGAAAAGAAAAGGACATGACCCAGATGGCCAAATGAAAATA